TGCATAACAAGTGATTGCAAAGACCATAACCTGTATCAGATGCACCTTAGTCTCCAGAGTGACACCATTGCTCTTCAGTACCCTGGAGAGGTCCCTCACAGTAGACTTTCCCATCACAATACGTTTTTTGATTTCCTGACTACTGGTGCCAAGAGTGTTGACCATGGAGCCAATAGCATATGGAAAATTATAAAGAAACCATATTTCTAGATTAATGATTTGTTGTATGAATTATTATTTGGAATATGTCGATTAGTGAAAATAAATGAAATTCTATGAGCCATAGTGCTTGCATTATGGTTCCAATAATTTATTTCTACAAAAATATTTCATAGATACTTCTGTAAAGCGTATCCACAGAGAACTTCCAGAAGTCCAGGCTGGGTTTAGTAGGGGTTGTGGCAATAGGGATAGTGTAGCTAATGTTAGATTGATCTTGGGTGAAAGCAGGGTGTACCAGAGGAATGTCTATATGTGTTTCATTGACTATGCTTAGGAGTTTGATTGTGTAGATCATAACAAACTATGGTTAACTCTGAAATGAATGGGAATCCCAGACCACTTGATTGTGCTAATGAGAAACCTATACTTGGACAAAGAGGCAGTTGTCGGAATAAAGCAAGGAAACACTGCATGGTTCAAATTTAGAAAGGGTATACACCAGGGATGTCTCCTATCTCTATACCTTTTCAATTTATATGCATAATAGACTATCCAGGATGCTGGGCTCTGTGAACAGAAATGTGGCATCAGGATTGGAGGAAGACTCATCAACAATCTGCGTTGTGCGACCTGAAGCACTTTCTGTGGAAGGCCAGTGGCTGCAGCTTTGAGTATGGATTGAGGCTCAATATCAAGAAAACAAAGATTCTCACCACTGGACCGATTGGCAAAGTCATGATGGATGGTGAAGAGATTGAAATTGTTCAGTTTTAGTTTGCTTGGCTTCACAATCAACATTATTGGCATCAGCAGCCAGGAAATTAAAAGATGTCTGACCTTGGGAAAGTCTGCAATTAGAGACCGCTCTAAAGTACTGGAGTGCAACGATGTCAGTCTGGAGACTAAGGTGTGCCTGATACATTTTATGGTCTTTGCAAGCACTTGCTATGCATTAGGGAGCTGGACAATGACTAGGGATGAATTGATGTCCTTGAGCTATGGTGTTAGAAAGAGTATTGAATATACCATGGACTGCTAAGAAAATTAATAGGTTTGTCCTAGAGAGGGTGAAGCCAGGCTGCTCCTTGGAGGCAAAGATTCTGAAGCTTAGTCTGACATATACTTTGGACATGTTACAAGGAGGGATCAATCCTTGGATCAATCCTGCTTAGGAGGATGGAGGGACAGCAGACCTTCATTGAGATAGATTGATTCAGTCACTGGGGTAATAGGGATAGGTGTGTTAGAGACGGTGAGGTTGGCACAGGATAGGGCAGGGTTTAGGGCCATTGTTCTTAGGGTCACTATGAGTCACAGGTGACTCAATGACACATAACAACAACAACAGACACAAAAATAAATATATCACTTGTCAAATGTTCTTATTTATCTACACTTAATGTAAGTTATTTATGGATGTGTAATCATGTACAAGATACTTTTAGTGGCAAAACCTGTAAGAAGTTATGCTGTTAACAAAAGATTATACCTCTCTGGTGGTTCAAACCCACTAGTGATTCTACAGGAGAAAAATGTGCAATTTCTTATGTGATTTGGCTTTGGAAATCTACTGTAGGGCCAGCTAAAGTTGGTTGATGACAATTATTTTGACTATTTTAATTATATACAATTTATTGACATTAACTTAAAACTATCTTTTTCATAT